CTAAGACATTTGATAAAGAAATCAGTACTCAACTACACAGATTTCTGTTGAGAAATCTTTCAGCAATGCTCTCACCATCACATTTGCTGCACTCTGGGCTCTCACCAGCATTAGTGGCATTATTTTATCTTAAATGATTTACAGTGGAAATTCCTGTGGTCATTTCCCCGCACCTTTAGCTGCAGAGTACTGATCCGTACATAGACCTATCAGACAAAAAGACTACCTCACACTGCAGTGAAATGTGTTCAGACTCACGCGAACTCTAACCAAGTACAGTGACCATAACCTAGAGGCAGAAAGCAGGAGGCACAAGCAGTCTAAACCTAGTGAGGACCAGAGAAACACTTTTTACTCAAGGAGGATAGGTCCATCAATGGCTATGAGCCAAGATGGTCAGGGACAGAACCCTATGCTCTGAGCGTCCCTAGCCTCTGATTGCCAGAAGCTGGGAGTGGAGAGGATCGATCACTGGATTATTGCCCTTTTCTGTTCATTGCCTCTAAAGCACCTGGCACTGGCCACTGTCAGAAGACAGGAGACTGGGCTAGACAGACCATTGATCTGACCCACTATGGCCGTTCTTATGTACTCACTAGGAGGAAGCACGAGAAGGGTATTTTTCTCAAATCAGCAGACACCACTAAAGACTTCTCCTCAAAAAGCAATGAGGCCAAACTGGAAAAAGGAGAGAGAAAGCTGAGGTGGCCACGTGCACTTGCCTCGGGACCACAAAGGGTCAGCAATGACAGGTCACAGGTGACAAAACCCACTGCCAAGCAGGTCCGACCCTCCTCTGACAGCAGTGGCGGGGGGCGTTAAGGGGGTAGGAGGTGCGGGGAATCTCTCTTCTTTGTCACCAGGTGGGCGGGGCGGGGCAGTCTCCTGGGGGCTCGCCATGAATTGGGTAACACGTTTTGGGAGGTGATTTCCCTAGACCCTGGTGACCCTGAAACGCTCACAGCATTAGGGACCATCCTCCCAGTCCCGGCCGGGTCACCTGATTTAGGGGCGGCCCCATTGCACTGAACCTGGGCGGATGGAAAGGGGTGTCGCTACAGTGCCGTGCCCCGCCCCCCGCAATTCCATTCCCAGGGCTCCGCCCCCCGCAGCCCCAGGAGCTCCTGCTTTATCCGCTCAACCCTGGACGATACCATCTCCCCGCAGGGGGGGGGGGAAGGGGAGAGCTCTTCCGTTTCTCTCATGCTGCCCCCGTCCTGGCGGGTGGATTGGCTGGAGCGGCTCCCCGCGCCTGCGCAGTCAGGGAGGGAGGGAGGTCAGGGAGCGTGTGTGCGTCACAGGGAAGGGAGAGGAGGGGACGGGGCTATGGCGGAGGTCGCGGCAGCCCCGGGCGAGCCCGAGGCGGGGGCGGGGGGCGAGGACTCCGAGGCCAAGGCGCTGAGCGCGGGCGAGTACGCGCGGCGCGTGCACCAGTGGCTCTGGGACTCGTACTGCGGCTACTGGAGCTGGCAGAGCAGCCTCCCCGCGCTCCTCGCCGCCGCCGCCCCCTACGGCAGCCCGGGCCCGCCCGCCGCCCCCGGCTGCCCCCCGCCGCCCGCCTACTACGCCCCCTGCTACCTCCTCGCCGCCCCCGCCGCGCCGGGACCCCGCGCGCCGCCCGCCTGGCCCG